TTTGACCCTGTACCCCACAGTTAGCAGACACATTCCAGCCAATCAGCAGCAGACCCTCCCTCCCAGACCCTCCCACCTCCTGGACAGCATCCATTTTACATTCATTGTGAAGCTGCATTCTTAGTGAGCTGTCCAGGAGGTGGGAGGGTCTGGGAGGGAGGTTCTGCTGCTGATTGGCTGGAAGGTGTCTGCTGACTGTGAGGTACAGGGTCAAAGTTTACTCAATGATATCATAGGGGGCGGACCGAACAGCGCATATGTTCGCCATCTGTGGCAAACCGTTCGGCGAACCGTTCGGGACATCACTACTCACATTCCTAAAATAACCTATCCTAAAACAACATCAATTTTCTGCAGGACAGCTCCTAGAGAGGTTAACTAATTTCTCATCTTATCCTTGGGTTATTTGTTTATGATGCTTACTCAGGGATCAATTTTATTCATAGGTCCTATTTATAATTCCTCTTCTGAGTAAAATTTTGGTGCTTCTCTATTTCTATTTCCATATTTAGTTGGAAGATGAGTTGATTTCTTACCTCAATCCATGTTGGTGGCATACAAGATTTCCATTTTCTGGCTATTGTGATCTTTGCTGCTAGCAAAGTATGTACTACTATATCATACACTGCTTTGGGCATTTTTGGAAAATTTAAATGTAGTAAATAAGATTCTGGTTTCAGTAGTAGTTTAATCTTACTGATTACTTGGATTTTGTCCTTTATCTGTCCCCAAAACCTCAGAATTGGTTCACATTTCCACCATATGTGTAATAAATCACCGTTTTGTGATTCACATCTCCAGCACCTATCAGTATGGCCAGACCACATCCTGTTGAGACGGCTTGGAACCAGGTAAATACGATTATTGAGCTTAGATTGCATTTCTGTTAAATTCAGGCATCTTACTGATTACATACTTTCTGAAAAGCTCCTATTAATTCTTTTTGAGTCATTTTAACATGTATATCCCTTTCCCATTTCTCTGTGACCCTTATTGAGCATGTTTTTCCCCCAATCTTAATCGTTCTTTACATAAAGCTAGCATGCCTTTTGATTCGATCTTTCTTTGAATTGTTTGTATTTTTGTAATTATGTCTTTAGGTTCTAGACATAAATGTTTCCTAATATATCCTTTTATTCGTAAATAATTAAAAATTTCTCCTTTAAGTTCTTGTGCTTTTTTCTGAAATTTCTATCAATAGAACTATGGACTAATTAAAGTATTTAAAAAAATTGGGCAGACTAGATGGGCCGAATGGTTCTTATCTGCCGTAACATTCTATGTTCAAAGGAGTCTTCAGGTTCTTCTAAGGTCATTATCACATCGTCCACATAAAGGTTCAATTTCAGTTCAGCAGAGTTTATTCTGAACCCTTTAATCTTTCTATTTTCTCTGATCTGAGAGGCCAGCAGTTCTAGTGACATAATATATAAAATTGCGGAGAGCGGACAACTCTGTCTGGTTACATTTGACAGATCGAACCAGTCAGAGCTGAAACCTCCCCCGGGTACCCTAGCATTTGGAGCTGAGTACAGGGCCATAATGGCCTCCAACATCCACCCATTGAAACCAAATTTTCTCAAGACTTCTCTGAGGAAACCCCACCTGACCCTGTCAAACGCGTTTTCAGCATCTAAAGACAGGGTCAGGTGGGTTCTTAGCTCTGTTTGCAGTGCATCCAAAATAACTATCAGTTTCCTGACGTTATTTATGGATGATCTTCCCGGGACAAAACCCAACTTGTCCGACTGGCTCAATGTAGAGACAACCTGCTTTAACAGCTTTGCCAATACTGCAGAATATTCATTAATATCGATATTAAAGGACCACTATAGTGCCAGGAAAACATATTCATTTTCCTGGCACTATAGTGCCCTGAGGGTGCCCCCACCCTCAGAGTCCCCCTGCCGCCGGGCTCTAGGGAGTGGAAGGGGTTAAACTTACCTCTTTCTTCAGCGCCTGGTGGGGGACTCTCCTCCTCCTCTCCACCCTCTTCTTCCGTCATCGGCTGAATGCACATGCGCGGCAAGAGCCTGGCTAGTTGGAGTTTATATAGGGAAGGGATAGTTTAAAATTGGCACCCAAATGACATCATAGGCTGTCCTCCAATAAACAAACAGTATTAGTTTACACAATATAAATATAAAAAACAATACTATGCATTAATAGATCTTTTGGCGTTGAATTAAAATATATTAGTTATCTCTAAAAACGAGCATTTGAAAGATCGTATCGGCTATTTGAAGCAGTAGCACGTGACATGTGTCACATGCGCATCATAGTTTCCCGGCAGCTAAGCCTTATGAGAAATGTAGTCTTCGGTATGATGATTACGATGTCGGTAAACATCTATTATTTGCTGACATCGGAAAAGAACTACACATATTTGATAAAGTGCATACAGAGTTACTTAACTGTTTGTCTGATGAGAGACTGATAGGTAGCGGGGTTAAATAATGTTTTTTTTTTTTGTTTATTTATTCTTTATTCCTTTTGTTGTTGTTATTTTAACAAAAAGCTGAAAAACACAAACAAAAAGGAAAAAAATGACCATACAAAACATATGGTTCATATTAAACATTCAATTTATAGAATTCTTTTCCCCTCCTGTAAAACCTCACATTTAGTGATGTCCCAAACGGTTCGCCGAACGGTTCGCCATGGATGGCGAACATATGCGCTGTTCGGTCCGCCCCTATGTCATCATTGAGTAAACTTTGACCCTGTACCTCACAGTTAGCAGACACATTCCAGCCAATCAGCAGCAGACCCTCCCTCCCAGACCCTTCCACCTCCTGGACAGCATCCATTTTACATTCATTGTGAAGCTGCATTCTTAGTGAGCTGTCCAGGAGGTGGGAGGGTCTGTGAGGGAGGGTCTGCTGCTGATTGGCTGGAATGTGTCTGCTGACTGTGAGGTACAGGGTCAAAGTTTACTCAATGATGACATAGGGGGCGGACCATCAATGCTTTCCTATGGATGCTGGTGTCTTCTCACTGTGAAAATCACAGTGAGAAGCGCGGAAGCGCCTCTAGCGGCTGTCAGTGAGACAGCCACTAGAGGCTGGATTAACCCATAGGTAAACATAGCAGTTTCTCTGAAACTGCTATGTTTACAGAAAAAAGGGTTAGTCCTAGCTGGACCTGGCACCCGGACCACTTCATTTAGCTGTAGTGGTCTGGGTGCCTATAGTGGTCCTTTCAGGAGCAAAATAGGTCGATAGTTACTAATCAATTCAGGGTCTTTCCCTTCTTTCAGTATTGTTATAATATTTGTTTGTAATAATTCTCTAGGTACATCTTTCCCTTCCGCTATCACACTAAATGTGTTGGTCAGGGGTTCCATTATAATGTCTTTTATTGTTTTATAAAACAAGTTATTAAAACCATCCGGACCAGGTGATTTACGCCTCCTTCAGCCTTTCTATAGCCTTTTCTACCTCATTCTTTAAGATCTTCATATTTAATATTTTAGACTGATTTTCCGTTAGATTAGGTAGTTTAATATTATCCAATGAATCTATTATCTGTACCTGTGTAGGTTTGATTTGAAGGTTATACAATTGGTAATAGAATTCTTTGAAGGCTATCCCTATCTTTTCTGGAGTCAATAATATCTCTTTCTTTGGCCCTATTAAAGTAATGCTTTTCGTTGCTTTTATTTTTTTTAGTCTATTAGTCTATTGTTCTATACATAGTCTATTATGTTTTGTTAACCTTGTTCCCTTGATAGTACCATTTCCTATTAAGGCATTCTAATCCCCTGTTGACTCTATCTATAAGTAAATCTTTTATATTTTTTTCTACCTCCACTATTTTTTTGTGTTAGCTCCCTATCTGGGTTAAGTTTATTTTGTCTAGCTTACTCCTCAAGTTTAATGTAATGATCTGCTAATCTGTATGGATTTTTCTTCTTTTCTCTATCTCCTATTTTAATCAGCTCACCTCTAATCACACATTTATACGCACACCATGTTATAGGTGCAGCAACGTCTCTATCCCAGTTTTCTTTGAAGAAATTCTCCGTTATATATATTTTTTCAGTTGTTGTTGGTATTTATCCTCCAATTATTTCGTCCCCTTTTTTGCGTTTCTTTTAGTTGAAGCACAACAGGATTGTGGTCTGACCATACTAGAGTTTTGATGACTTTTTTTTTGTTTATTTATTTTTTATTTTAATTCTTTATTTTGATAGTGTATAACTGGTACAGACATGCTTGCATAGCCACAACAGCTGGTGCAAGTATTTTCTTTCAAACAAGGGTAAACACTTGTTGGCATCAGTAACATAGCACATTTTATATGTTATGGTGTTACTACGACTAGTACAATGTATAAACAGTTAAATAGCTAGCGTGCAACTCCTGCTTAAGTACTACAAGGTAAGTATGCTGTGGTGCGTGTGGGGCAGGGTGCAACAGTTGCCTCTTTGATCGTTAAATTAGATGGGGAAATTGAACTAGGGGTGGGCTAGAGAGGCCTGTGCCCCCCTTCATAGACTCCTGGGGCGGTAATATCAGCAGTTTCTCAGTTAATTATAAAGGGGGGGGGACAAGGGTAAGTGGAGCAGTTTATGCATAAACAATCGAGAGGAAATGCATGTATGCCATATGTAATGAACAAAAATGAAACTTTAAAACACGAAATTTTAACGTTACTCATGAAGGTTTGAGAGTAGAAGAGTAGAACCAAACATAAAATCATTAGGCATTGTTGATGTCAGAGAGTTCATGGCACCGAAGTGGATACTTTTTCCCCTCGTTGTGCTGCCGGTACAAAAGGGCGCACTGTGGCGGGGTTCCAGGCTGCGGTTGTCGTCGGCATGTTAGGATCATCTTGTCCACGTGCTTGCTTGTCCAGTGTGAGCTGCTGCAGGATGGCTAGTATGTATCGGTTGCTTCGTGTATCTTTAGGTTACCAGTGTCCCTGGGTATAAGCAGGCTTCTGGGTGCGCCCCAATGATAAGGTATGCTGTGTGCAAGGAGCTCTGTAGTCAGGGGTCACAGGGACCATCTCCAGTCCATGGTGGCCTTGGACAGATCAGGGTAAAAGGTCAGGGAATGGCCTTCAAAGTGGAAAGGAGACTTACTGTGCACGGCCGCCATGAATATCTGGCGATCTCGGCCTTGCTGGAATCTGATGACATCTTTCCCCTTCTCTGGTGTGTCGGTTTGTGGTCTGGAGATGTGAAAGCAGCTATCCAGTGGCATCCCTTTGGCCTGTTTGGTTGTGAAGAGCATGTTGAGCATTCTGCGGAAGAGGTGCGGTAGCTCTGCGGTCTCCACTGCTTCAGGCAGGCCGCAGATTTTGATGTTCTTCCAGCGTCTTTTGTCCTCAAGCGCTGCCATACTGTCTTGGTGTTGCCTTTGGGCCTTTTGCAGGGCGAGGAGTTGTTGCTCCACCGACACCAGTAGGGTCTCTTGTGTGGCGGTATTGGGCTCCGCGTTTTGCAGGTGGGCCACCACTGTGCTGATCTCGTTGCGGAACACTCCAATATCAGCTGCTATATTGCAGCGCAGCTCTCCCAGCATGTCCTTGAGCTGCTCCTCTGTGAGAATAGGTTTCGTAGATGAGTGGATCGGTCTGCTCACAATTCTAGTGCCATGGTCGTCTTCCTCAGACTTGGAGGCCTTGCTAAACGAGTGATATAGGCCTTCCATCTGAGACGCCATTTCCGGCCTTTTGGAGATTTGGGGCCTCCGCAGGAGATCTCTGATGTCTGCGTTAGAAGGGGGTCTATCCGGCATCGATTTTTTATTCCGCCGCCCCATATCTGCTGGCGAGTGGACAGCTGCTAAATGCGTTTGTAAGGTAGATTTTCCTCTGTTTTTTTTTTATGTAATTGAGCGAGTTTCGCTTGGAGCTCGAGGCAAGTGCGTCCTCTCGGTATGGCTGCTTTCTCCACCCCCCTGATGACTATTTTTTTAATTAACTTAGATAAGTGCTTATCTCCAAATATCATATCTATCCTTGAATAACTTAAATAGATTTTTGAAAAACAAGTATCATCTAAAACCTCCGGGTGTGTAATCCTTCACATGTCTAACAAAGCATTATCCCTAATAAGTTCCCTTAATCTTTTTGCGTTGTTAATCACATTCCTATCTACTTTTCTAGGGGTACATATTTTTTTATCAAGCTTTGGATCCATTGTGCAGTTAAAATCTCCCATAAGCAACAAACTATCCTGTTTTATTCTATTGTTTTTAAGGAGCATCTTCTTTATATACTTAATTGGGGATTTATTTGGTACATAAAGGTTAGCCACAGTAAAAGTATCTTTACCAATCTAACAAATCAAAATCAGATATCTAGCTTCTGTATCGCTTTCCTAACATATTATTACAGGGGATACATTTCTAGAAAAGATGATTGCCACTCCTCTCTTTTTCTTGCTCTCCAAGGCTGCACTAAATATCAGCATGAAATCTTTAGATATCATTCTTTTCTCCTCACCCATTATCCAGTGAATCTCTTGGAGAGCACATATCTGTATATTTGATTGTTTTAAGAAGTGATATACCAATTACCTCTTTTGCGGGGAATTAATCCCTTGAGCATTTAATGTTGCTATTCTAATGTTTTTTTACCCCATGTTTTACTTCCTCTCTCCAGAGCTGCATTGCCAGACTTACAAAAAGCACAAAAAAAAGACATTACAAACAATACATAATAAGGAAACATCCCTACCGACCATAGACACCCCATATGTGTAGATCCATTTCCACATAAGTTTGATTAACAATCTCCTGTGAAAATTGGTACCATAAATCTATGGTGGTGTGGCAAAAACAGGTGGTCCATACCTAGGCTCGGGCGCTTCTATCTCTTTCTATCTTCCTTTTTACCTATCCTTAATTTTCTAGGAATTTTTTTAAATTTTATTTCTTATATCAAAGATTCTAAATATCTCTTACTTTAACTTTGTATCAGGATATTATCTCTTACATTTTCCTATTATCTTTCTTATATTATGTACCCTGTTTTTAAAATTCTATCTTATTTTAACTTTGATGGACTCTAAGGTACATATTATCTATTTTGTAATCTATGTCAATAATCGCATAAAAATCACACAAGTATAGTCTCAAAATAATCATATTAAAAAAAATGGAAAAAAAAAGAGAAAAAAAATCAGTATATCAATAATTCAGATTCCTCTTTACCCTTATTTTGTTCCAATTCATAATTCTTACATTTTCACTCTGTACAGCGTGCTAGTCCTATTAGGGTTATTTTCTATTTTTCTATTGTCATTTTTGTGTTACAAACTCATAATTAATATAGTTTAAGTATACTTAAAATTAAGTTAATATTAAAGTGCAATATACCTTAAATATGTGTTATACTCAATATCGAAGAAGAGAAAAAAATGTGCTGTCATTTTGTGTTACATGTCATTATTATAATAAATGTACTTTTAAATTAAGTAACCTCTATTGTGCATTATCTTTAAATATATGTTATAATCTGTCACATAAACTCCACCCATTTCATTTCACAACAATTTATCTATATTAAGGTATTTATTATTATTATGTTATTATTTATATAGCGCCAACAAATTCTGTAGCGCTTTAATGTGGAATTCCAATTTTGTGTTGTATTTTTTTTATAACTTACCCGTTATTTTAATTAGGATATACTTTTTTTTTTTAAATTAAACAAACTCTAGCGTACCTAATGTCTTAAGTATATATTATACTATTATCTATCATCAAAAAACAAAACAAAAAACCTTCATTTGAATATCAATTATGATAAATTAGAGATTTTGTTTTTGCTCATCCAAATACTTAGATGTTCAGGAAAGTGAAGGGAAAGGGTCTTATCATCATATAAGAATGATCTTTGTTGGTATTCCCCATTTATAACGAATATTCTTTTCTCTAAGCATTCCAGTAGATGTTGCGTATAATCTTCTTTTGGATCTTGTATAGAAAGATAAATCCGGCATTATCTTGATCTTATACAGATCTTGTAGAATTTTCTCTCGTTTAGCTCTGAGCAGCACTTAAGTATATCTCTTGGTAGAGCCTTAGCTGAAACAGGAGGTTTCCATGTTCTATGACATCTTTCCCAGATATATGGCTAGTTGGGTTAAACAATGTTTTAAATTGCCGCCGCTGCCATCTTGGTTGAGGAAAGGAATAGTAAAAAATCATGGCAGGGGCCATCTTGATGGGGAATTAAGTCAGTGAGCATATAAGGAGGGAAACAGATACTCCTGGCTGGGGGAAAATAAAACAGACATGATAATAGATAAAATATAATAGGAGTCTGGATAAAAATACATATTAAAAAACCATATTAAAAAACCTAAATAAAATATGATAAAAGTCAGAATAAAGAAACAAATAAAATATAATAGTTATACAACAGAAAGTGGATAAAAGAGAAATATATATATATATATATATATATATATATATATATATATACACGTGTCTAAATAGAGAGGGGTGTGTAAATATTAGATGATATTAGATAAAATGAAACAAATCAAATTCTGCATTTTTGTGTATGGCATGCCTCGATACTGAGTGATTTGGATATCCTTTTACAATATTTCTGCACTGCTCGCTTAATCTTATTTTTAAACTTCTTGTGTTCAGCCCAACATATTGGAGGCTACATGGGCACTCCAACAGATAAATTAAATTTTTAGGACTGCACCTATTAAAATCTTTAATGTTATAAAAAATAAAAAATGTTGTTCTATTGTGTCAGTACTTTTACAGACTATGCAGCGTTTGCATTTATAAAATCCTTTAGCTTCAGTAAAAAAATAATTTTGTGATTTTTTATTGAGTTTAGATTCTCTCATAAAATTAGTAGTTAAGATAGATTTGAAAACTGGAGTTCCTCTAAAAATAATATTAGGCTTTTCAGGTTATATAGCATTTCGTCTTGCTTTAATTCCTCTTCAAGATGGCCCCTGCCATGATTTTTAATATAAACTCCAACTAGCCAGGCTGTATGTTTTTATTCCATTTGAAAAAGCCTATATTGGTGAAACGCGTTATGGATGTTACTATGTATTTTATCTAATAAAGGATTTTGGTTATCACAATAGCATATTGTGCCATCACCTTTATATTTAATATCCTATTTTATATTTTATACCTCCTGGCATTTTTATCACTTTTTATCATCTTTACTCTCCAGAGATATCCTGGGTGGGGATCATACCACTTTGAGGGAATATATTTTGAATCCAATGTTCAGTGTAATTAAATTAAGGCATACATCTGATGCTCTTTATATGTAATGAACTTTTTCTCTGTAAAATGCTGTATACGTTGTGTTCTCTGTGTATTCTAGCCCCCACTGGAGCAGTTATTTTGAGAAACTGTACATTGTGTGACTGTTTGCTTGCTAATTTTATCTGCGACCTTCCTATCTTATGAAATATGTAACCACATATTGTTTTGTAAACTAATTTTAAATCTTATGAAATATGTAGCCACATTAACTAATTGTATCTTTTGACTTTCCTATCTTTAACTACATTATTTATTTTTAAACCTTCAAGCTAAGCTGCAACAATATTGTGTATAAATACACACTACTTTGAATAAACAAACAGGAAGTAATTCTGGACTCACAACCATCTGTGTCGTGTGTTAATTGCTTCTCCAGGCGCCTGCTATAATTTGGGTTCCCCTGAATAGAAGTATTGGATTCTTTGTCCATGTCACCACCAACGCTATCATCATAGAGCAGTGAGCCTGCTCTATTCTTGTGAGTATAATTTTGATTAATCTTATACAATGTTATTGTCTTATTTTGTTGCAATTCTATTCTCTTTTGAGCACCTGGATACCTACCACTGTGGACGCCCCTCATCAAATCCTATAAGTGGGGGTTGTACCACTGTATGAGATACATGCTAGAGCTGGCCATAGCGCTTTTACATGTGAATGTGACATCACTATCTTGAATATACCCTCATATCGAGCTCTGACATATCAGTTTGCCAAAGAGATTCAGATCTACCACATCGAAGCATAAAGAATTTAGCACTTACAGCTGCACCTACCCTTTTTACAAGAGGCATCTTTGTATGTGAGAACTTTTATTGTTGGGATGAGACTTTGTAACACTATTTGTTCAATTATATGTTATTTCTATCATCTCCTGTTATCGCAATTCTGATGTGGCACAGCCCTTCTCTCTATTTTTTCTTGTGTTCTTTTAGATTTTGAAGGGTTAACAGTGATCCCCTTTTGGGGTTGCTGCCTTGTCTCCATTATTTCTGGTTATTTAGCGTGGACCCTCTGTGTATTTTTATATACATGTAGACAAAATATAAACATGTGGATGTCTTCTTGAGCCTCAAGATAGGCATTCCACAATCTTTACCCTCTCAATAGAGAGTTTTATGTGTGACCTGTTTCTCTCAAATGAACAAGGGAAAAAGGGCAGACTTCTAAGTTCTAATAACCTACGGCAGGAGTAAGCTACTAGTTGGGCCGAACAGTAATAATTTGTAATCTCTTAATGTATGATGGGGAGCAAAGAAAAGAGAGAAACTAATTTAAAAAAAGGAAAAAATAAATAAATATACATATACTCCTTCTTCCTTCCTTCCCTTTCCTTCACTTTATAATATTATATCAAAGTATTTACTGCAGTCTGTGGTTTAACTCTGGTCTCATATAGTTTTTCCCCTTTTCTTTCTCTGGGTGAAGCTTCTACTGCTAAAGTCCAGTTACTGTTTAGTGAATGTGTTTTCCAAAAGTTTATTTACTTTGTATTGAATAGTGAC